GCATAATTATATCTGACTATTTAAAAATTATGGTATCAAATAAGCAATAATAAATCTCACATAGGAAAAATTTTTATATGTTGGTTAAGCAAACTCAAAACCTACCTTTATATATATTGTTCGGGGTCCTAGTAGATTAGTAGTACTCCATAAAGGATTTTAATAACAATTATAATCATCAGAATGTTCAAATGCTAACAAAAGTTCGTTTACTAGTTTCTACATGGCCATTTTACGGGTATCTACAGCTCTTTGTCTAATGGATCATTAAGATATTCTGATAATAAAATTCCTATACAATCTCGTTCACTCTGGGCAGCTTTGACTTGTAATTTTAATTTATTATCATCAACTACATTTCCGGTAATGTTCTGTTTGATAAACTTAATTCCGAAGGTTTCAAGGGCTTCGTCAAATGTGAAGTAATGACCCTTTCGTTTTTCATCATTATCAATTTTAACTGACGAAACACATTTCAATTTTTCTTCAAGTTTTGGGTATTGAGCTAGCATTCCAAAATATTGAGTAACTGATGATGAATAGTTTGATTTTCCTGCTGATGTAAATAAATCAGCAAAACAAGCCAAAGCATTTTTCTGCAATTTATAATTGCCAACACGGATTCCTACACGATGTGCTTTGAAAATTGATGCCCATTTATAATAAAGATACCATATTCATAAAATACAGTCAACCCTTGTTATAACGAACCCTAGGTTCCAGACCTCAACTTCGCTATAGGGCTATAGTGAAGATTTTAAGAGATTTGATTGGTTAATTCGTTATAGCAAGGGGAAATTTATTATAGTTGTCTGAAAAATTCACTATATCAAGGGTTTGCTATATCAAGGTTTGACTGTATTATTGGCACCACTATTTGAATCCATTATATTATATTTATTAAGGTTTGTTTTTTTCATATATATGCAAATAGATATAGTTACTGCACACCATATTAACTCTAAAACACAAACTGTAAAATGATAATCAACAATTTTGTCCAATTTATCCAAGAATTTAACTCCTGATACTTTTGCTAGTTCAAAAATTCTATAGCTCGAAAACAATACAATTAAAACTCCACACATATCTTTGGATGTGTGCCACTGGCCAAGAATAGGACGCAGTTTTGGCCATATTTTTCTCTGTTTTATTAGTCTTCTGAAGATTGCTTCATCAGCTACCACATCCAAGTAGTCATCCAGTCCTAAATTAAAGTCTTGTTTGTACATTTCTGTGGATTGAAATATTCCTTCATCTGAACTTGGAATTCTGCCAGTTTCTAATATGACTATATTAGGTGCATCAGCTAAACAACTGTGATCAATATTTTCAAAAATTTTTTGGTGAATAGCTGTCATATCAAAATCGGTATTGTAAAGAAGTTGTCTTTCAGAACTTGTTTAAAAATTTAAGAGATTATTAATAATATCGTCAAACTTATTCCATGTGTCTCACACGTCAAATAATCAAAAATAGGCAAAAAAAATGGCGCAAATCGCATAAACTATTCGCAAATTTGTATAAACTATTTACAAATAGTATAGGTTAATTCGTAAATAGCCAAAAACAGCCAAGAATAGCCAAGAATAGCCAAGAATAGCCACTGCTTTTCGCGCCATTTTTTTTGCCGATTTTTAGCATTTCGACCTGTGTCTTTCATCAGATCATTCATACCAAAGAGACCTGTTGGAGATGTTATATTTTTTTTATCATCTGCTCTTTCTTCCAAAGGAATTGGCATTCGCATTTGAAATGCCATTAGTAGCGTTATATGAGAACTTTGCGTGTAGTGTTAAAAATATTTCCGTATGTAAAGATTTTTCTTTGAAATCAATATTATCTATAACCGCCAAATTCCATATACAGTCAACTCTCTATAATTGCACACTCTATAAATGCACACCCTTCATAAATACATTTTTTAGACTAGTCCCAACTTGGGACTATAATGCTAATTGCATACCCTCTATACTCTGCACATGCAATGATTTCACAAAACGATCATATTATGATGATTTCCATAAATGCATGCACGTGATTTGTTGATCTATACATCAATATATAATTACGTGCAGTATTTGCAATTTGATAAACATCTCATTATGCCTAATAAAAATACCGCTTTAACAGATATTCAGAAATATGAGCTTTGTCTTTATGCTCATAATAATAAGAAAACTAGAACTCAATACGTAGACTGGATTGAGCAAAAGTGGGGATTTAGAGTTAATGAATCTACAATTACATGGATTTTACAAAGCAAAGAGAAGCAACTTACTACAGAAATTACAAAATCTGAAGCAAAACACCATAAACCTGTAACTGTTCCAGTACTTGAGCTTGCCCTCAAGGAATTTGTCTTATGCTATCAGCACAAAACAATTCTAAGTGACGCTATATTAATTGAAAAAGCTAAAATATTAGCCAGTGAACTGGAAGTTCCTCAAGGAATGTTACAGGTAAATTATTTCATTTTTATTTAAGTATTTTTTTATTTTTATAATATTTAATTTCATAAACTTGACTTTAACTAACTTCCATTAAATTTTATTTAATTTAGTTTTCCAAAGGATGGCTTCAAAAATTTAAGGAGCGTATGGTATTTAACAAGTAAAACTTCATGGAGAAGCAGATTCTGCAAATGAAAATGCCATTGCTGAAGCTCTACTATTATTACAAAATAAATGTGCTGAATATCCTCCTGATCGAATTTATAACATGGATGAAACTGGATTATTTTATCGGTACTTTTTTAGCATATTCTTATGATTTGAATAAATTGCATTTGATAATCATAATCTTTTTTTTTAGGTTAGAATCAGATCGAATATTAGCTACAAAGTAGCTTTCTGGACGAAAAAAAAATAAAGAATGGCTTTCAGTTGCTTTATGTGCAAATTCTGATGGGTCACATAAGCTGCCGCCTTTAGTAATTGGTAAATATACAAATCCATGGTGCTTTATTAAAAATATTAATATCGGCAATTTACCAATAACCTATAGGAGTAATGCCAAAGCCTGGATATTAACAACTCTTTTTCAAGAGTGGCTTCAGGAATTTAATTATCAAGTCAGCATAAAACACAATAAACAACGTATTTTGCTACTTCTTGATAATTGTAAAAGCTATAAGATAGATACTTTAGTTCTTGAAAATGTTGAAGTTTGTTTTTTACTTCCTAATACAACTTCAAAACTTCAACCAATGGATTCTGGAATAATTATGTCCTTTAAAAAGCATTATCGATATCATCATATCAAGTAAGTAAGATTTTAATTTTATTATTTTACAACTTTTTAAATACAGTCGATTCTGGTTATAACGAACCTGTTTGTACTGAAACCTCGTTATACCGAATCATAATTTCCAGAACTGATTTTTTATAAATAATTTCACTGGATATAACGAACTTTTATAATAAACCACTATATAACTAGGGATGGGCGTTAATTATGTTACTTATAATTAGTTTAAAATGGTTAATTAACCGTTAAAACAACTAATAAAAATGCAGAATTTAAGACATGTGATTTTAATTATAATTTGGTAAAAAATGGTATAGATTTATTTTATAATTTATATCTATTATGTATTTCATTGGTTACTCCTCTCTTAATTAAAATAAATAAATAATAATAAATTTTATAATTTATATCTTGTATAACTTGATAATCTTTTTTTTATGATTTTTTTTTTCTTTTTCTTTAATACATTTCTTTTTACATAATTTTTAAAAAAAATTCTTGCAATTATGGGAAAAAAAAAGGAAAAGTTTGGAAGCATTGGAAAGTTACTGAAACAGAAGGTAATAATAAAAAACATCCTTCTGTAACTTGTAATTATTGCTCCAAAACTTTTGAACGTGGTACTGATTGATAATAGTACTATACTTGAATTTGAATTAAATGTAATAAGTTTAGATGATGAAGAATAAATAAAATATATAAGATTTATTATAATCATTTTAATAAATAAATAAATTTCATTGTTTTATTTTATTATTTATAAAAAATTAATATATTAGTTAACTATAGGTTAATTAACCGTTAATTAACCGTTAATTAACCAGTTAATTAACCAAATTTATAATTAACCGTTACTTTCCCATCCCTATATATAACGCATCCGAACCAAACTTAACCAGCCCCTATATATCAGCTATATAATAACTTTATACTTTTTATAATGAACGGTTATGTGACTATATAGTAGTCCAGGCCAATTTTATAGTGCTGGCCAGAATTACTAGTAATTTTTTCGAAAATTTATGTTAAAAGAAATTATAATTTTGGCCAGCATTACAAATTTGGCCTAAATTGCCTATAAAGAAAACTAGTTCGGTATATTATATAATGAATTCACTATATACCGAACTAAACCTTCTGGAATGGAAGGTTCGTTATATCCAGAGTTGACTGTACATTTTTTTTTTAAATTAGATGGTTGCTAGAACAAGTTGAAGATGGACAGTTCATACAAAATCTGAAAATGAATGTTTTGCAAGCAATTCAATATATTATTCAAGGTTGGAGTAAAGTTACAGCTAATACTATCAGAAATTGCTGGAATCATATCAAAATTCTTTCTAATACTGATGATGAACGGATGATTGATGATGAAGATGATGAACTAATGCTTGATGATAAACTGATACTTGATGATGAACTTAACAAGGCCATCAAAACTTTTTGTTTACCAAATATGATGGAGGTGAAAGAATTTTTAACTATTTCTGAAGAGAATATAGTTTATGAGATTCCTGATGACATTTCAAAATTTGCAGATATGTTTAAAAATGGCCCTACAAATCATCCAGATGAAATAGATGATAGTGCTAAGATAGAAATTATTTGCGTTAATAAAGCATTACAAGGTTTAAAAATTGTGAATTCATTTTTACTTCAACAGGAAAATGCAAGTGAACAAATTAAACTGATGGGTAAAATTGAAAAATTCATTAAAAATAAACAAATCAATTCAATGCAACAAACTACTATAAATCAATATTTTAAATAATTATTTGGATTTTTATAATGATAATTGTTATTTCATAATTTCTATAATTCTTAATAAATATTATAATATAATTAGTTTATATATAATTATGTGATTTCTATAAATGCACATCCTCTCTAAATTCACGTTTATGCTCAGTCCTAAGAGCGTGCAATTATAAAGGGTTGACTGTATTTGGTCCTTTTATTAATCTTTCAGTTGGATTAACTTTATCCATTCGTTATTTCTCTATTCGGTGTTCATTACTATTACTATCAGTATGACCACTTATATGAAGAGTAGATAAGAGTTGGCGAAATGAAAAAAAGAGGCGTGATTTTAATTTTCAAGACATACTAGCCATTACCTGAGTAAACTAAACACCAAGATAAGAAATGCCATACTTATTATAAGTGAAGCAAAAAATGTTACACATTTGATAATATATTCAACATCTAATTGTTTTAAAGGTTTTTCACGTTGTTATCATTTTTTATTTAAATTTATTAATTTTTTTTTAAAAATTTCACCAATAAGCCCATCAAAAAACCCTCTTAGAAAATTTGGAAAACTTTTATAATATGCATTAAGAGAAATTGGTAATTGTATTTCTGATTTTTTATCTGTAATTATTTTACGCGAATTTCATACTTCATTTCCCAATTTTTCCCCAATTTCTTTCCATTTATCATCCGTCTAGTCTAATTTTGGTTGTGTAATATCCATTATACAATTTATATTTAATAATAATTTTAAAAAAAAAGTAACTGGGCAATTTAGGTAAAATTTCAATTAAAAATTTAATTGAATCATCAATATTATTTGTATTATTAAATTCATCAAGATTTAAATAATGTGTATTATCTTTAGGATTATAATATTCATACTTTAAGGGTGTTTCAGATGGAGTATATAAAAATTTTAAAGCTGGAACTAACATAGAAGCAAGAATTATTTCTTTTTTTTCTTCTGTTTCAGTATCTACTACATACGTAAGCCACTGAGCCAATAATTTTAAACTTTTGGATGTATCTTCTTTATGCAATTTATGTTGTTCACAAGTTGTTTTTCGTTTGCCAGAACTAGGTTGACGGTTTAAATGCCCACCATAAGATTCATAACAATTATAACAAATATATCGAATTGTTGAAACATCATCAAAAATTTGCTAGAAGATACCTTGGCAGGACCCCGAACAATACTAATATAACTCACAAATGATCAGCATGCGTTTACTATTAACTCTACGCAACTTTTTTTTCATAGTAACGCTACGCAAACTCAAATCTTAGTTAAAAAAAAAATTTTTTTTTGTAACCAATTTAACATTTTTTATATTTTAATTTTAATTACTGTTATATCGTATGCAATTAAATAATAAAATGTATTATTTTTAACATATTTATTTGTAGAAATTACAATTTATAGTTTTTATTATCAATAAAAATTTTCTTTTATTTATATTCGAAATTCTGTTTCTACTAGTATAATATTAAGTTCCAACTCCAAGCTCTAGTCTAAAATCTAAGAAAAGAGATAATAAAAAATGTTAGTAAAGTAGCAAACATTCTTGTATAAGAACCAAATCCCGCTTCTTTCTTCCAAACATTTACCTACAAAAAAAGATGTTAAAGAATGTTAGCTATATAAAAAAAAATCTAAAGTCCACTTTCTTCTTCCTTTAAAAACATTTACCTGTTTTGAATTCCAAGTTTCAGTCTGAAACCTATAAAAGAAAAGCCAAAAAAACATTAGTAATGGTCTTACATATAAAAAAAAAAATTCAGCACACTCTTTTTTTTAAAAACACTATCCACCTGTCTTTAATATTAAGTTTCAGTCCAAAACCTACAAAAGTAAGAATGTTAGTGAACGTTTTTATACAAGAAAAATTAATTAAAATCAATTCTCTCCTCCTTTTAAAACACTTACCCATCTTAAAATTCTAAGTTCCAGTCTGAAACCTACAAAGTAAAGAATGTTAGTAGCATTCTTACATATTTATCATAATCTACTCACCCACTCACCATTTATAAACATTTACCGTTTCACTTTCAAGTTACAGTCTGACTGGAATCTCTAAAGTTAAAAAAACGGGTTTTTAAAAAGTAAAAAAATGTTTTTAAAACTGAAAAAAAAATAAAATCAGTTTTAAAAACTGAAAAAGAAATAAAAAAAAAATAAAATCGGTTTTAAAAACCGAAAAAGAAGTAAAAAAAAATAAATCAGTTTTAAAAAACCGAAAAAGAAATAAAAAAATAAAATAAAATCGGTTTTAAAAACTGAAAAAGAAATAAAATAAAAATAAATTCTGGTTTAAAAAACCGAAAAAAAATAAAAAAAAAATTATATTTCGGTTTTAGAAACTGAAAAAAATATAAAAAAAAATTAACATTCAGTTTAAAAAACCAAAAAAAAATAAATAAAAAAAATAAATTTCGGTTTTAGAAACTGAAAAAAAATAGAAAAATAAAATAAAATAAAAACAAATAATAAATTTCGGTATAAATTTTCAAAAAAAAGATCGATAAATGATAATTCGATCTAATTTGATCACCCATCACATACAATAGATTTTTATCAAAATCGTAATTAAAAAAAATTATAAAATTCTGGTATATAATAATTATTTATTTTTTAAAAGATAAATCTCACATATTTATAAACTCTACGCAAACGTAATATGTGAGTTGCCCAAAAATTGACCGATCTACACAAACTCAATTTATGGGTTTAAAATATGTTCTCATATAAACTCTACGCAAATCCAAATGTGAGTTGTATCATAGATATTCGGGGTCCTACCTTGGCATTCGTATACTGCATTACATGTATAGAGACCAACACATGGAATTTGGATATATTTTCCCCACATTTTCCATAAATGATCTTTACATCCAATTCCACGGCTAAAGAAATGAAAATTTTTAGAATACAATAAGCAACGTCAACGGCTAATTTCATTTTGTTCAGGATTCCGCAATTGTTTTATAAATGCATTATAATTTTTTTGATCATAATTAAAATGATTCATACACATCCCTAACGGTATTCCTTTTGACTGGTATTCTGATACTACATCTATTTGCCAAACTCCAACTAATTGGCATAAATTCCTAACATTTTTAGTTTGACCACAAGTTTGCAATTTATTATCTAAATAATCAACTAGAATACATGGTGAAAAATTTGTATACATGGCTGGATTAAGTCTATATACAGGTTTGTTTGCATCTTCAACAGGAGGTGGAGGAACTTCTTGGTCTTCATATGTACCAAATTCTTCTTCGTTTTCATCACTTAAATATTTCACAACTTCTTGTTCTAGTGCATTTTGCACATTAATATAATTTTTTTCATTAAATTCAAATAATTTTAACTCAGAAAGTTCGTTAAAAGAAGTGTCAAGATCTTCTTCAGTTTCTTCTGAAAATATTTCTTGACTACTATAATATAAAGAGGTTTTTTCTTCAAAAGTAATTTCATAAGTCTCCATATCAATAAATTAAAATTTATGCAAACTTTAACGTTAAGATTCTTTTAAATGTGGAATAATATTATATTAAAACGAACAATAATAATATTAATATACCTCGAACAATAAACCTAACCACTTTTTATCACAGTATATGATGTAATATTTTGTTACAGACAAGTGGAAAGTTGTTGAATTTTGCGGGTTTCTATATGTTTTTGGATTTTTTACTATGATATGCAACATGCAGATTTCTTAATTAAAAATGTTATACAACCTGATCAGGAGACATGCATACTGACTGGTAATACTACAGGCTACAGCATATCTTAAATGTATATAATAAAAAAACAGAAAGTGACAAAGATCAAAGAATCTGCTAGTAAAAAGAAAAAGTGAAGCCTATACTAGGCTAGGACCCTGAAGAATACATATACAACTCAGATCCAAATCCAAAATTTTAATATAACTTTATACATCTAATTTTATTAGAAGTTTTATACAAAATCATCACATAAGTTCAAATTTTATTATAAATTATACAATTATAAATCTGAGTTTATATAAAAAAAAATTTTTAAAGAAAAATTTTAAATAAAAATTTTAATAAATATTATTAAAAATTATTTAAAAATTCTAACAAATACTTAAACAATTTCTTAAAAAAAAATTATTAAAAAATAACTTAAATAAAATTTTTAAACAAAATTGCATGTTAAAATTTTAAATACCTTATAGATATTGATGCCCAATATATACAGTCAAACCTTTATATAACGATATGTCGGGACATATATGAAATTTTTAGAAAATATCGTTATATCAAAGTTATACCGATATTTATATGTCCTCACATATAGTGGGAAAATAAAATTTTATCAGTATAACAAGTTTTTAATAGTATATCGGTATATCGAATATCGGTATATCAAGGTTAGACTGTATAATATAGTAAGTTTTATGCAAAAATTTGGGTATATATTACAAAATAAAAGAAAATACATTTTGTTATATATCTCACCACCCAGTAATTGTAAAAAGATGAAACACAGCTCATTGGATTCGTCTTGATAAGACAAATCGAATGGTAGTAGTTTTGTATTTCTAGATGTGATAGATATTAAGCTATACCACACATCAGTACTTTGTATTTTCATCCACTATGCATTTTTACATTTTATCATATAATTCGGCATCTATCGTACCTAGAAATATGAAACTACCACATTCGACTCATCGTATTGAGAAAAATCTAATAAGTAGTGTTTCGTTTTTCTATGATCACTGGATGCCGAGATAGGTAATAAAATGTATTTTTTTTAATTTTGTAAATGAATTTTAAAAAAATTTCTTCATTTTTATAAAAAAAAATGTATTTAAACGAACCCTTAAAAACTTCTCAAACAAAAAACAATTTCTATTAAAAAATATTTCAAGTGTTTTTTAAAACAAATAAAAAAACTCTTTATTAAAATATATCTTAAAAATTTCTTAAACAAAAAATAAAAAAAAAACTAAAAAAATTTTAAACGTATATAAAAAAAATTCTAATATCCGTTATACAAAATGAAAATCTTACTTATAGTAAAAATCATTATTGTTATACAAATAAAATCTGACTTTTTGCATAACTGCTATTTGGTTATACAATTTCGAACATATGACTTATTAAGAAATTACATAATAAGTTGGATCTCAGTATTATATGTATTTTTCGGAATCCTACTATGCTCCTATAAATCAATATGCTTATATGGAAAATATTACACTTTATTACTATTAATTTTTAATAACAACATGTTCTTGTTCAAGGTAATTATCAGCAAGTACATGAACATCTACAATATAGGAAAGTTATATTTCTAATAGTAGCAAAACAATGGATCTAAATTAATGTTGAATATCATTTACAAACCTTTAAGTTGTATAAATGCCTTTAACTTTATAATCTTATTGATGTATTAAAAAGCAAGTATATTACTAGGCAATAGTTTTTAGTAAAAATACATATATTTTTGATCTTAAAAATCAGTTTTTGTCAGCAAAGAAATATTTTGAAAGCAAATAAGATTTTAAAATTACCTATTACTTAAAAAATGATTTTATAAGAGTTCTTGAATTTACAACACCATTGTTTAATTATATTGGTATTATAAACTTGAAGGAAATTATTGTAGATTCTACTTTTAAAATAAATCAGGAACAGTTTGAACTCTTTATTATAAATGCAAATTGTGAAAGATACAGTATGCCAGTAGCATATTTTTATTTTTTGACATGTGATAATACATCAAAAATATATAATAATCCAAAGAATCAAATTAATACTAAAGTACAAACCTTATGTGATTTTTTTACAAGTCTCTGAAATGAAAAATTACTACCTATATTTATTTTGATAGATAAGGATGCAAGAGAAATATTAGCTATAGAAGAAGCATGGTCATGAACAGCAAATTTATAACTTTGCTATTGGCATTTAGAATATGTTATTAACTGACACTTAAAAGATAAAAAGTTAAAAATCATTTGGTTATTCAAAAAATAAAGCAATAGAAGCTTACCAGCAGTTTAATTTTATTGATCCATTATGAATTTCAAGTAGTAATACTAAAAGCTTATATCTAAATAATAAAATCAAAGAAATTATAGATATAATTAAAAGACATGCAACTATGCATCCATTAATTTTAGTAGCAAAAAATACCTTTTGGAATTCTACACAAATTTATCAATATTGCATACAAGAAATATATTAGTTTTGTTACAATCATAACTTTTTATAAACTGATATAACAAGAAGAACTGGAAGCTTTTTGCTCATTTAGCATATTTATCAGCTATGTCTTTGGCTAGAACTACAATAATTACTAAAAGTCATTGGCGAGTACTAAAATATAATTATAAATATAATTATAATAGATCACGTTTTGATTGGCTTATACAGATTCTTATAAAGCAGTTAGTACCAGATTTTGATTTCAAAATAACTCAGTACTATATAAAATGCAGCTTTCTAACATGATGGCAAACCTTCAAAAAAAATTGGAACAAAGCTGTCAATACAAACATTGAATTTGACATGGATGAGAGATACCATATTGATACAATTAATTGAATATATTCTTGTCCAGTATATTTCCATAGTTTCTATTTCCTTTGTAAGCATTTAGTTGCAAAAAAAATATTTTACCTACCTTTATGGAAATAAAATGGCATCATAACAGTTGTATATAACTATTACAACTTTTAGGAACTTGGTGAAAGAAAAGTTTTACAGAAATAAAATTATTTTTAATAAGAACTACTCTAAGTTAAGTAACTTCACCAAAACTGAGAGTTTAAAGTCCATTTGAATTTTAAAAAAATCCTCTTAAAATCTTTAAAAAATACTAAAAGCATTATACTAGGAAACGGGAACCGTTGTAAGTCCGGAGCGAGGTATAATAATAAAGATGTAGCGATATTCTATTAATTAGCAGCATAACGCCTTGGAATTCCGGTAATTTTCTGCTGATTAGCAGCATAACGCCTTGGAATTCCGGTAATTTTCTGCTGATTAGCAGCATAACGCCTTGGAATTCCTGGACAGAGAAACTCACGTGATTGAAAATTTACACGTTATTTCCATAGATCATCATAGTGCGTAAACATATATAGTCCTTCGCTTCGCTCCGGACAATAACTACTCAAGTAAGAAAAGCTTCTTCAGTAACTTTTACTTGAAAAATAACTAAGTGATTAGCAGGTAAAAAATAATGTCAAATATTAAATATTTGAATATATTAAATTATATTAAATAAGATTTAAAAAAAAAATTGCAGACTGATAAAAATATTTGATCAATATTTATAACTTTTAAAACTTATTTATTAACCTTTATATTTTATTTTAACTTTATAGTTCTATAATAACATATTAGTAGATTTGTATAATTATATGTTATTTGACTATAATAATTTATTATAGAAATGGAAAATTATATAATCACACAAATTTACTGATATAATCTTTAGATATTTCAATATTTTCCATAATCTAATATATTAAGTTTTTAATTAATAACTCTATAATAACTTGAAAAATAAATTAATAACAATATAATTAGTAATAAAAAGAATAATTTTAATTATTTTTTTTTTTTGTTTCAAGTATGACTGGTTAGAGCCTTTATTAAATTTATAAAAGTTGTATTCAACTACAAAATTTTGAAGACCTTTCACTCTTGCTGTGCAATGAAAATGTCCAGAAAATTTCTATTTATTATATTAATAACAATATTACTAATTATAAGTATATTACTAATTAAACAAAACAATTATTTAATTATATGATTATATGAGTATATAAATTTTTAAAGTTTAGACATATATGTATTAAAATTTTGCTGCAATGCATAATTTGAAATTTCTTATATAATTATATTCTACTCTCATTTTTCAACTATCTTAAAAAAGAAAATAGCCGGTTTATTTAATAAAAATAATTCTATATTAGGAAAGACGGAATTCTTATAAATTATTTCCGTTATGAAGTACAGAACCATTCATTGTTGCAAAAAACAATGTAAAAAAAGATCTGTGAAACATAAAGGTAACACTGTAAGTCTGATAATAAAGAGGGAAATTGTGATATGTATTAATCACGTGATTGATCTGCTTAAACTTATCATTCAATCAGTAATGAAGAATTTGTGATTATTACGAAGGAATGCATCAAAAGAGTCGTTAAGATCATTTACATAATCCTATCAATCAATTCTTTATAGCTCTAGCAAGTCAAAAAAAAAACAATTTTAATTTTCTGCTTAATGGTAGCTTTTTTTTAACGAAAATCATTTTTGAAAAAAGACAATCTATCAAAATTTGTCAGTTTTTTTTTAGCTATCATAGGTAAAGAATAAAGTATAAAATAGGCATTAATTTTGTAACTCGCATCGTGTACATGTTTTATCTCAGTGATAAGTTTATTAACATAATTGAATAATTTTAGTTTTATTATAAGGCTAGAGTTTTCAAATCTTTAATAAAATTAAAAAAGCTATTTTCTCTTACGTTTATCACTCAAAGAAAATTTTTATATAAACATGCATTCACAAAAGGTAAGCTTTACAAAACGTTTGATCAGTAGCAGTTTGAATATTTTTTCTAGATAAATCTCATTCCAAAAATATTTAAATTCATTGTTAGAAGGAATATAAGCCGACATACGGGTCGTTCTCAGGGAGAGAAGATATCGAAGTTGTCACAAAAAATACACAAGACATGCCGCTAAAGGTAAATGGTTATTGTGATTACGACTTTTTTTTAACAACCTTAAATTTTGATTTGCTAATTTTTGGAATTGAAATATAAATAATATATTATCTTAGGTGCCATTTAATATAGGGTTTCCATATATAAGAAGAGGTAAATTGGAAACTAAATTTATAATAATATTTAATATCATTTACTAAAAATTTTCAAAAAACTTTCAACTAGGTGGTACTAAAATAAAAGTTACACTTCCAAAACCACAAATTTATGGTAATGAACAAAATGTATTATATTCACAAGCGGTTATGAGAGCCATGCAAATAACGTCACCGACCCAGGCAAATAAAATAATAATACAAACATCATCAACGGTTATAACAAATGGAAACCGTTCATCCAAACCATCAATAACGACACAAGTTTCTCTAGACAATGAACCTTCCGTAGATCGACCTTCTTCACAGGTTGTATCGTCGATATCGAATAAATTGACCTCGGCAAATATTCAAAGCCGTTCATCTTCACCCGACAAACCTAGCCCTTCATATAATGCTGCTAAAGTTGATGATGGCCTATCATCAACATCAGTTAACGGCACCACTAATTTTTCCGGAACAAATTGTTCCACATCAAAGGTACCAATGAGTACGATTAATGGGTCAACTTTTCAACAAAATAATGCTAGTAACCTCGATGGAGCTACGAACCCAAATTCATTAAATGTTCAACCTCAACATAAGAACGGAGTTTCTGGAAAGGCCTCCGTATGGAATGGGATTAATTCAAAAATTATTAACCCGACTGGTGCTATGAAAGAATTTTCTCCTGGTTCGACAGCTGTCAGGTCTCAACATACAAACAGTATCACCAGTTATCAACATCAACGTGTCATTAAGACACTGCAATATGGACCCAACACTAGTTTAACTTGCACTGCTGAAAAAATGAGTACTAATGATTTCCAGAAGGAATCAAGTTGTTTGGCCAAGCATGTTGAACAACATGAGTTAGATAACAAAAACAATACTTCATCTTTTACCAGTACACCAAATAGCTCTAGAAGGTCTTCTGAATCAAATGGTACTAATGCCACTACTAAAGAGTCAACTCTTAAAAATAACACAAAGCATAAGAAAAAGAATGAGAGTAAGACATCATCTGGTTTAAATACACCATCACAATCTAATACCCCTGGTGGTTCAAGAAGATCTTCTACATCACATAACCCTAATACAATTGTTGTACCTAAAGAGACATCAGTTAAAAATGTTTCAGCACGACAAATAGAACCAGATAACAAGAGCAATATGCCATCTGTTTCCAGTACATCAACTGTCTCTAGAAGACCTTCAGAATCAATCACAAGTCAGCTTAATTCAAATGGTGCGGTATCATCTAACATTAGTTGGGCTCATCGTCTTTTCCCGAAAGATGAAAACCAAAAGCTTAATACTGTTATAGCTGAAAGTTCTAAATCAAACATGAAGTCACCAAGTCCTCCAGTTAAACCACAAAAGCCACAAAAGCCAGATGTTTCATTAACGAACGGAAAACCTAAAGTAGGAGGATTGGCGGGTAATACAATATTTTTAATTTATATAATATTTTTACACTTTATACTTCAATTATATTATTATTTATTCAAGATTTAATTATTATTAGGCTTGCTGAAGGACTTCGATCCGTCTTTTCAAAATGTAAATATGAGTCCGAGAGGACTCATAAATAATGGTAACATGTGTTTTATGAATGCGGTATGTTCAAGCTTTTTAAATAATAATTCAAGTTTATATGCAGTATCTAATTTCTTAATATTTATAATTATTCGTTTTTTTTTAAAAAGATATTACAAACGCTTTCACATTGTCCACCGTTCTGTAATCTACTCACACGCATTTATAAAGACGTCGCACATAGCTTCAATAGTACGACTCCACTAGTTGATTCTTTGTAAGTTTAAGTGTTTATATCCACTTTATCAATGGATTTTCTTTAATGATATTTCTGTTCAATTTTTACAATATCTAAGGGTGAGATTCATTGAAGAATACAAACAAATGAAACGCACCGAAAGTTCCGAAGGTATATTTTTTAATTATTTAAATTCAATTATGTATTATATACGAAATTCTAATTTTATTAAAATTGTTTTAATCATAATAGAATTTGGAGAAGCTTTCTCTCCTGAATATGTATATGACGCGTTACGAGGACTCAAACGCTTCGACTCCATGAAAGGGCGTCAAGAAGATGCCGAAGAATTTCTTGGGTTCCTCCTTGACGGGCTACACGAAGAGTTCTTGGCAGGTTTGTAAAGTTTAATGTTATGCCATTATTGTCGAAAAGGAGTTAAAATGTATAATTTTGATCATACGCTTATATATGTAGCTCTTAAAAGAGCTGATCCTAAGAATCAACAATCTGATAAAGCTAGTGTGGCAGGTAATCAAAAAGAAGACGATTGGATGGAAGTCGGTCGCAAAAACAAAACATGTTTTACCAGAACGGTATGTTGATAAACATTTAGTTCTAATTTATGAATATAAATTCTAAACGGCTTCCTTTATATTAGACAAATGTTGAAGAAACTCCTATTAGTCGCATATTCGGTGGGAATTTCAGATCAGTATTAACATGTCCTGGTAGCTTTGATTCCATCACACTGCAACCATATCAGTCTTTACAACTAGATATACAGGTAAATTCCTATCATTATATTTAATGACTATTTATAGCAAATCAGACAATTTATTTTTATTTCAGCCTGATGATGTAAAGACAATTGGGGACGCTCTAAAAAATTTGACCGTTTCAGAATGTGTGGATGATTTCTACTCACCCAAAAATGGTTTGGTATGTTTAACAATTGTATTTTATATTCTTAATTTGATATTTGTGACTATATTTACATTTTTTTTGTACGCTGCAGGTGAAAGCTACAAAACGTTTGTACATTGAGACGCTACCACCAATATTAACTCTTCATTTGAAAAGATTTATTTATGATAACGTTGGCGGGACGCAAAAACTCAGCAAACATATTGGATACTCGACAACATTGTCAATCCAACCTGGTAAATATTTATTCACGTTTCCTTCATAGCAATTTTTACGCGTAGAATTATATTAAATTATTATTTATCTACTAGATATCATGGCTCAAGCACGCCGTCCTAAAGAGGCGATAGAATACCGACTCTTCGGAGGTAATATTTATATGTCTTCCCCCAAAATTTAATTTCATTTTTTTTTAATACTTAATTTTATTATTTATTAGTTGTCTATCATCATGGAAAGTCAGCCACTGGTGGTCATTACACTGCTGATATACTTTGTCAAAACGACTGGCTTCACATCGATGATACAGCAATTTCTCCAATATCATTGGAAGAGGTTGCTTCAGTGGAGAATCCCACCCAACCAACTGATCGGTCGGCATATATTCTGTTTTATATGAGAAGTTAATTGTACGCTAATCGGTCGGTTGGGTGAGGAGTTAAAAAAAAAAGAATAAAAAATTTTTTTTTAAAAAAAAAAAAAAAAATTAAAAATTTATAATAATAATTTTAATACTAATAATAATATTAATATTAATATTAATAATAAATAAAAAAAATGTAAAGTGCATTCAATTTGCGTATTATAGACATATTTAGTAATGTAAATACAAATGATAATATGTAAGGATGTTAAGGTCTAATACTTGGGAATTATACTTACAATTAATCCTAAAGTGCTGAATTTCTAGATCCTATAATTGACTTTTAATTTAATAAAAATGTTTTGATTTTTGAGCAATTATCATATAATACTAATATTACCTAATGAAATGTAATATAATATAATAAATATCTTACTAAACTTGATAAATCCCTAAATTTAGGTTTAAAGACCTAATATTAAATCCTATAACTTGTTTTATTTATAATAGACTGTTTATTCTTATAAAAAAACAGCTTTTTAAAATTATATAAAAATTAAAAAATCCTTATAAGGTAAAATTTCTTATATAATATCAGAAGTTTATAACAATGATTAAAAAACTTTTAGAATCTTAAAAATTAAAACTCTTGTTATAATAGGTTATATTTATTTTACTAATAATTATTTTATTAACAATTATCTTATTAACAGATATTTTACCAATAGCTAGAGTTATTTTACAAAAAATAAATGTCTCACTAATAATTATCTTATTAACAAGAGAATTTAGAATTAAAGTTAAGGTTAAATAAGAAAATTAGGGTTAAGATTAGGATTAGATAAAAATTAGAGTTAAAATTAAAGTTAAGATAAGTTTAGGATAAATGGATTAAAATTTCATAACTGACGTGTTTTAGAGTATAACTGTAAATATCAATTTTCTAATTTATGCCAAAGTTATTTTTTGGACTAGAAAAATCAGAAAATCTTAGTATATTTCAGCCAAACTTTATTCTGTATTAGTTTAAAGAATAGTTACAATCAAAAATTTAGATAATATATATGAACATTTAATTGAAATTTTAAAACTTATCAAAACAAATTATGGAGAAGTTTTAATAACACCAAATTTACATTTTTTATTATACAGTCAGATCTTTATATACTGATATATATTCTATATACTAATAATTGCCTGTACCAATAAATTTTTTATATTCTACTTTATAATTAATAAAAAAATCTTATTATATTGATATTATATATTTCACCAGTATATAAAATTCAAGTCAATTACTTTTTATGTAATATGTAACAAAAAGTCTCATGCAATTTGTGCAAAACAAATCCAATTTGCACATCTAATACTGTATTTGCAAATCTTAAATTTTTAAATATAAAATTTTAAAATTATAAGTTGTACTATATATGTATAAACTAGAATTATGTATAATTTGCAAAAATTAAAAAGTATTACAAATTTTACAAATAGATTTCATATGTTGAATGTAACATATACTGATATTTTTTTTGTCCTTTTATAATTAATACATAGTAAGATAAAAGAAGTTACACATATCACGTAATATTCAGTTTAATATAAACTTACTTCCCCTCTTCTTGTCAGATTTAATAACCAATCAAATTATAATATTTATAAATTATATAATTTTATTAAGTGTAATGTAAGATTTTGGTTTTCTCCTTTAATAATTACGTAATATGTGTAAGCTTCCTAATAATGTTAGCTTTAATTATTTTTTAAAAAATTTTAAATTACAACTATAAAATTTTTATAATCTTAATTAATTACAGCATATAAAAATTTTGTGTTATAGCATTTTTTTAAATTACAGCTAATATCTTTATAGTAAAATATACTGATACTTTAGGTTATACTGGTATTAATTCAGGTTAACACTATAAATTTGCAGAGTTAATATAAAAGTTCCATCCAAATTACATGATATTTTAATATATTAGCTATCTGAAGTTTGCATAATACTAGTAAGAATTTGATTTTAATTTACATTATAATTTACTGTTAATGGTATATATAATAATAATTTGATATACTGATATATTTTTTCTAAAATAATAGTATCAGTATATAGAGGTCTAACCAGTATTGGCCTTTTGAACTATTGGACTTTTAAACCATTGGACTATTGGATTACTAGACTTAGTCTATTTCAAATTTTCAATTCCATTAAAATTTGGACTATTGGACTATAGCCTTTATTCAATGGCTATAGATTTATATATAATTTTAGCAATTTGTAATTAATAATTATAAAATTTATGATACAGTCTGTATATTAATATTTACTAGAATTTTTTATTAAATTTACTATAGGCTATAGCAGCAGTACTTTTTTTTAAACTGTGATTTGCCAAAATAACATATAATCATTTTAATTTAGACTAACGCTATAAATTTGGCCAGAATTATAATATATAAAATTATAAATCATAGTCCATTTGGAATTGGAATTGGACTGAACATCTTCATTAGATCTAAAGTTCAATAGTCCATTACCGGAAATTGAACAAGGTCCAATTCCAACCTTGTCCAATTCCAACTTTAAGTTTAACTGTACTTGAATGAATATTATAAAGATTATAGTTCTCTTTATTCATTTTAGTATTTCTCCTTTAAAAGGATAAATAAGATTTTTGATTGGTATTTATAATAATATTATTCAAATTATTTAAAATTATTATTTATAATTTTACAATTATATAAGGAGTTTACCTAATAGTAGAAAAAAAATTGAATTAGAAATTATGTAATTTATAATATAAAATTTTCAAATTGAATAAAATTCAACATATTGTTTTTAAATTATCAGGATATTTTTTAAATACTTAATTTAAATAACTAAATAATAAAACTGACAATAATAAAAATAAATCTCTTAAAAGTAAGGAATTACAGGCATTTTAAGATATATTTAAAAAGCTAATTTTAGCTAACTATAGTTAGATTCTTCTTTATCAACTAAAAATTACATTATTGTAATTGGAAATATCATACAATATAGTAAATTACATATCAGTGTAAAATATTTTGAGTTAATATTATTTAAAAGGTATATCAAAAGCTCTTATATTTTAGTATATTTTATAAAACAATGTGAAAATAATATAAATATATAATTGCAAATATTGGATTTTTTTTAATGAAGATTTTGATAATTTTATGAATAATTAGAGCTCCAAACAGGTCAGCCAAATTCAGGTAACCTGACCTGACCTGACCTGAAATTCAGGTCAGGTATGAGATTTTTTAAAAAAATTCAGGTCAGGTATGAAGATTGACCTGACCTGATTGACCT